AAGATATCTGTTATAATTAACAGTACACTTGTTCTCGAGGGCTTTGGAGCCCATGCAACAATATCTTACAAATCCTGGAAGACTTGTTGGTATTGAATCGCCACGCCCTGGGAGCAACTAGCACGCGGTGTGGGGAGTGCCACTCATCGAAGAGCTCTGAAAATTTCAAATATTTCGGAAGCTGGTCTCCTTGAACACTCCCAAGAAATTCATGTTTTTAAAATATTCCACGACAGTATCCTAATAAACTATTTTCTATCTGGGAAGGGTTCAGGGGATGCTAAGAGCTAAGCCCCCCTTTAATTACAGGAACTCCATTTCTACTGACCGTACGCCCATACACAACAAAGACTTTCCAAAAAATGTGAAGACTGTCATAATGTCTTCTTTCTTGCAAAAACAATCCCGAGAAGTAGCGGATCTCCGTTGATATCCCCTCCTGCACCATTCTGTCTCGTTTTCAACGCCAAAAGTAATGGCCTTAATGACGCTAACGATCCTACCCACAGGAACTCATTTTATCGCTTTGACATCAGTTGTGTGACATTCACATTCAATGTCAACATTAGGCAAAAAAAGTCTCCGGTTTCTGGTCACTGCGCGCGTCGCTGTAGACCTGCGCATCAGCAAAGTAAAGACTTTTTTATTTTGCAAAAAACGTTTTCCGAAAGCCGCCAAACTTACTTGATCGGCAGGAATTCTGCTACCGCGTAATTTTAACGTGTTTTTGATGGGTGGGATTTAGTAATATGCACGGTAAAGGAATCCCCCTAGGGTTGCACTACACCAAATACGCGCTCATACAGTGCAAAATCGGACCGAAATAGCTCCGCTGTTGATTCTCGTGAAGAGAATGGCCTCCGTCTTTTTCACTGGAAATTCAAGATTATGGCCAGAAGATCATTTTTCGCTTCAATTTTACGGGGGTTAGCCACGCCAAATCTTTTTTATTCGCCTTTGAACGACGATACCCCAAAATAGCAGTAAAACTAAGCGCTCATTTCTGAATGTAGCCGACCGCCTCTATCCAAAATAGGTCAGCAATTTAGGGCTTTTTGTGAAAGAAATACGCCAAACTGGAAACTATCAGTCCTAAATTCGGGATTTATAGAAATATTTCTATGATGCCTCCTGATTATGGCCTGTCGTATTGTAAAAAAAAATATATTAATGAGCTCGCGCGCGGAAATAGGGCCTACAACCATTTGGTGGAATGCATCCCTAGGCCTCCACACATTTCAGTCGGGTACTCTGATCAGATGACGTCATTCGTTTATCTTTACACGAAGGCCGTGTCCGAATCAGTTGGCTGCGGCTTGATATCATGCATGATTCTATGGGAACTAGCCGTGGATACTGCCAAATACTAGGTGTAATTTTCGGCCATTGCCAATTAATTCGGACCCCGGCCCACGTACGTCTGTGACCCAGACAAACAAAGTGTTACGTCCTGCGTAAGTATACAAATTGAAAACGCTTTTGAGCAACAAACCGTGAGGGGCCAATCTATTTCAGTGTTGGCGAGGCAGTGGCGGTACATGCGCATGAAGTGCATGCATTGGCGACAGCCATCGCGTTATGACAACACATGTAACAACTCATGCCTCGTCACTTGCCAAGAACAAAGATAGATTAGAGTGAGAGGAGAATTTATTTTTTTTGAACTTTTTCCCTAATATGTTAAATGCAGCTTGTTTCTTAAAAGCTGAAACAGAATAGAAGACGACTGAACCATTGCCTTTCGTCATATTTTATGGTCTTTTTATTAATTCAAAGTTCTTAATTCACACTTCTTGTAGTAACAAGGCCGTGTGCTCTAAAGTATATGAGCATGTACATCACGTCTAAGGAAAAAAACGTGTCACCGCATCACTTTTGGACCAAGCTCATGACCAGAAATCGGAGTCTTTTTTTGACCTTACTGTTGTTTTCGCGCACTGCGCAGCTTTTCAATACGGTACACAAGAATAAAGGTACGGTCGGCACTGTAAAGTAACAATGGCTAAGGATAAAGTAAAAAGAATCTAGGATTATGGCCTCAGGGGTATATTGGAATTGCTAAATATGACTTCAAGATGGCCCAAACTCAACCGAGTCTATAAATCTCAGGGAAAAAATGCTCAAAATGAAAAACAAACAAACAAACAAACAAACAACCAACCCAACAAACAAGCAAACACCCCCAACACCCCAACAAACAAAAAAAAACAAACAAACAAACAAACAAACAAACAAAAAACACCAAACCAAAGACCACGTATAGACCCCAAAACGGAGTGAACTACGTAGTAGGCTACAAATTAAAGAATAATGTTTACATACGCTTAACGCGGCCGTGAAAAAACAAACTTAGCATTTCGGCTTACGGACGAGCTATTTAACTTTGAACCACTTGCTGCGCAGGGGTGGAAAGAAATTTGACGGCTGAAGTTAGGTATAGTTCCAAACACGACAACGTACCAGCTGTCAAAAAATTTGGTTCCCACGTATAATACTTAATTGTTTGTAAAATTAATTTTGACCCTTTTGGCCGATTTTGGCCCTTTTGACCACCCGTTTTTTTACAAACAAACTCAACGCGAATCAATAGAAAATTCTTTTACAAAAAATTACAAAAAATAAGTATTATTACAACAAAGTTGTTTCAGAATTTTTCTAATGATTTGCGTTTAGTTTCGTTGTGAAATATTTTCTTTTTTTTTCAATTATTTTGTACTTTTATGTACTGTTTTTATTTTGGGAAATTTTGGGGGCATATTGCTTTCAGATGTTGGTTATTTATTGTTGAAATTATTTCTGGTATAAATGTTTTAAAGTTTGTTTTGTGTTTTACCATTTACATTTTGATATGAAAATGTTGTGCTAAATGGGCTGCTAACAGAGCGTTATTAGCACCGTTAATATGAGAGCACGATACCATGCCATGACAGCAGCTGTGTTTTTGGAATTGCGAATTTGCAACCCATATGGAAAGGGGTCATTAAAAAGAGTAACAACTTTTTTCAAACTTTGCAGGAAATTGGTGGCATGATTGGATCGCGATTAAATCTCTGCAGAAATAATCACAATATGTAGGCCTATTCGTAAGACGTGTGATTATGGATCTTTTTATGTTGGATATGATTTAGCAGCACAATGCGTTCACGGGCAAGTGTGTTTGGATGTGTCATAAAAATGGACACTGAAGTGAAAGTTTCAAGAAACAATACAATATATTCATGGACTTTAGGGTTAAAAGAAATATCCACTTATAATATATATCAAATTGAATCAATATCACTGTAAAAACTAATTTTGAAAGACACAGGAAAGCAGCAATATTGAAATACGACTTCGTCATTCTGCAGGGTCTAATTCGTGTTAAAAATGGGACCTCCTTATTCACAAACATTGTCTCCGAACTCCCCTACAAAAATGGGAGTATTTTGAAATAAGAATGTGCACAGTGTTTTTGTTTTTCTCATTCTTTGCACGCAACAATTTACAGGAAGATATGGAATGTTACAGATTGCGTAAACACAAACAAGTCATCCATCTGTGTACGCTACCGCAACTACAAATATCTTACCCGAAATCACGCCATGGATTTGTTTGGTGGACCCATCGGCAGCAAACCCGACGACGCAACCAAACATGGTTCTGCTTAAGGTTGTTTTGTAGAAATAGATTCTCATCGGAATTAATCAACGCGTCTGTTGTTCCCTTGGCGAGTTTATGTAGGAGGGCCGTGCCAAAAAGTCTTGGGTTGTCTATTTTTTTCTGTCGGCCTCAGGTGGGCATTTTCCCCGCTAGTTATTACTTCATTGGCGTAGCAGATATACCTATGAATGCCAAGTTATTTAACCTTGCCCCTTCCGAAGAAGCCAATCTCGACTGCGCACATGCACATTGACAATTTTTCACTAAGGGGTAAATAGCCCTCCGTATATGACACTCTAAAAAGATGACCATGCATCTTCCTCTGCAGTAACTACAAAATTTTGAGCTACATGCAGGGCGCTATTACGTTTTAAACTTCGGTCTTTGCTTGTTGAGAGTGTCTGGTGTTCAGATGGTTGTACCCAGCAATGAAGGGAAGGGTTCAGAAAATAACCAACCCATCATAAAGAAGCATTCTGTCATCAGAATACAAAACTGAAACAACCAATTATGACAAGAAATTGCACTTGTTATATCACCGACGGACACGAATGAGGCCTTTGCTTCACACACAACCCGTTCTGGTGTCTCGTCTGTGTGGTTTTATTATTATGCAACGAAGCTTACAACAAGAAAGCCGTCAGATTACCATTTTTATCGAGCCATCGCATTTTTAACGAAGCATTAAAATGGAGGGCATGATTGGTACACACAGAGACACTGCACGACCGTCAAGTCTGTCAAACCTTTTCTAAGATGCTTTTACTTTGGGACCTGGAAGGTTATTACCGACGACCTCAAAGGAAAGCGTGGACTGAACAAACTCCTCGTGGTCCGCTTCAACCGAATAATTATACAATCTAACAAGACAACGCTACAATCATCATAAACCTTCAAACCTAAGTTACGTAACACGCAACTTAGTCTCGATCACTCTACACAGAATCGACGGTGACGATAAGGGGAGAGAAAAGACTAAGTTTAAAGCTCTGTCAAAATGAATGTGGTTAGATTACAATGTACATGGCACGCACTGTGCGCCATCTGGTTATTGCTTGGTTTAAAGGAGATTTGTCAAACTCTGTTAAACCAAAAACCTGGTCTTAATCGCAGAATGTTGAGGGAAAACGTAAGTGCAGCAAAGCACTTTCTTTACCACCGAGCTCAATGGACGTGCACTAAGGCACCCGTGCCCGAGATACGTGCGCACGCGGAAACCCAGATCGCATCGAGTGAACAAAACTCACTCCTACGAATATTTAAAGGAACAATTATCCACTGGGAGCGGCCTGTAAAGGAAAACGAATTCCCAGGACACCAGACCATTGTTCAAAATGATGATATCGTTCTTTCCATTTCAGGTGTTGCAGAATTTGCCGACCAACCATCAGATGTGTTTAAAGGTAAATCGTCCATGAATTCTCCTCTGGGTTAACGCGTTTCCTGTACCGCAAAATTCCTCGAAAAGGGGTTTTTCCAGGCGTCGTACAGAGAGAAGTGTCATTCAAATTGATAGTAGTAATGGGGTCAGTGGTTAGCGTCCATACGCCGTAGGACTGTCAATAAGGCTTTTGTGTTAAGACGAGCCCTGACAACCTATACCCAGCAAGAAATGAGACCGAGGGGTACCCCCAAACATGTCCAATCCCTATACACATTCCAGACTATTGTTACTTAACACATCCCCCCAAGATGTCTGAAAGGAATTCCCCAGATTCCTGCAAGACAATGACCAACACAAAGNTCTCATACCTTGCTGCATATGTGACAACCTTCATCTGGCGTTAATGAGAATGCCTGACTGGGCACCAGGCACACGCTTCAGAAATTTTGTGCGCGCAATGAAGTACTTGAAGCACGTGTAGTTCACGCGCGACGAAAGTTCATGTACAATGGTTTGAGTTAACACCACGTGACCATATTCTAATTAACCTACCAGGAAAAGGAATCACAGGAGCTATAAATAAGTAAAGATATCTGGTAATGTAAAAACATAATTAATACACATGTTTCTCAGCATTTAAGAATGCATGCCACGTGTGTGACTTTGTGGTACCAGCTAAATAATGCCATTCCACGGTGCGCACTGTCACTATTTTCATGTCTCTTTGATAATGATAATTGTATTCTTTCAGGTTATGATTTTGGTGTAGATTTTCAAGACAGTAGCAGCCCTCTTCCTCAGGCAATACAAGATAATGGGATGCTCCATCTAGTCCTGCACTGTAAGTTATATATTTAATAAATGCATATAATTTTATTACAGTGCGCCCTCAGCTGTAAAAATGCAAGGCATGCATCATGTGTTCTGGTCCCCCTACCTTTGGAATTCTTTCTGGTTTCGGGGAAAAAACACATCTTTGTTAACATGTCGCCACGTCTGTCATGCCTGCTTCTGATCTTCAAATTTCCGTGTTTTCACATCACAGATGCTTCCGGCAAAAGTCACTGCAAGGCATAGAGCCTGCATTAACTTGTCTAGGTACTCGTTGAAAATGGTCTACGGCGTCTAAAAACAGCTCTGTCGGCTACAGTTTGCGTCCTGTTCTACTTTAGCTCTGTTAAGTCTTCCTGGTTGTCAGGTTAGGACAGCCAAACTAAGGCCGTGTCCGAAATGGGCTTCCAGGGCTACGGCTAGGTCTACTGTCTGCGCGTCTCCCCATATTTCCAGTGAAGATCTAAACCGAAATCTAGACAACTGATTCGAACGCAGCCTAAGCCTGTCAGAAAAAAAATGGGGAAGCGGAGGTCCATAAAGTATTTGCACAGTGCCGACCTTTTGGGAACCTCTTCCCTTGCATGCATGGCACATGCAGTGGTCCCCGGCCCCCACCCTCCCTTATACCCAGATACGAATACCATATTGCCCTTTCGATTTATCAGACCGGTCGCGCTGGCAGTCACAAATTAAGACCCAAATGGCGGCGGGGTAATGGTAGACAATTTAATGTGTTCTGACTATTTCGATGTATAGAAGTTGGTCCCCGCTAGGCATGAATTGTGAAAGAGCGCATTAATTTTTTGCCACTTATTAAAACCAAATTCACTGCTTTCCGTGTGTACATATTGTCACTATATACACTCATATTCAACGTCTTAACGTTGTGTAAGCGAACCCCGACCTCCTTCACCATTCCCTCCGAGCGTACATGCTTTATGGACGGCCCCAACATGGAAGATACTTTCAACATTGCCGTAATGCGCTTGTTCATGGGTTCAATTTCCCCAGACGCACATGTCACAGTTTTGAGCTCGCTAGACTGAAATTGAGTTGCGTTCCCACCCGCACCCGAAAGCACATGCGACAGGTCCTCGTTGAATTATGGGACTAGGCTGCACTGCCCACGTCTTATACCGCCTGAGCGGTCATTGAACTGTACACATTCGGTGCTAACTTTAGTTTGAAGTGGCCTAACAAAGTTTCATCAACTTTTTGGGATCAAGGATGTTCAGATCATTCTGGTAATTATCGAGGACATTACAGAGGTAGTTAGATGGGGACAGAGTGTACTTTTTCCATCATACCTTCATTTTCAACTTAGAAGGATTCTTCCATACACGTGGAACAAAAAAAAAAAAAAAACTGGAGGATTTTGTGTTAAGTGATGCTCACGTTGGGTTCTGGCCTCTATCTTAAAAAATTCTTTTGCCTTTTCATGTGCTCTGAGCCAATATTTAAGCACCAATATAATATTTACCAGCCCACTGTTCCGTCATGTTTGGTTTGGTTTGATTTACTGACGAACTTGAACAATTTTGGTTAATGTGAATTGACTCATAAATATCGCTGCAGCATATGCGGAGAAAGAACTCTAAGTTAGAAGGGCAACACCCGCTCAAGTACAGGAAAATACGTGTAATCAGTGACAAACTAGCGTTTCACAATATTCTGCCTACAAGAGTTTGCAACACGTAGGCCTATCACAATGCTCGAAATCTGTCCAATACAATGCGCGTACGGAGAGGCTCGACAGATTTCGCACATTGTGATTGGCCAACGCGTTGCAAACTCTTACTGGAGGCGCACTATCGTGAATCGCCCGTATTGTTACTAAACGTCACGACAAAGTAGGCCACCGTGAAAATACCTGTACATCATACGTGTATGCAGTACAGTAGTCCATGCGTGTCTAGGTCTGAATCTAATGTACTAGTTGCACATTAGCAAGAAAAACCATTGACCCTAACAGTCGGGAACCTCCAACCATTTTATTGTGCCTGCTTGGAGACCCGAACATGAGAGAACTGAATATCACCGGCACCATTTCAGCAGCCTTTGAGTTATGCATTGACACGTAGGCCCATTCGTTTTCAGCCCAAACTTGAAAGTATGTACTCTTTTGCTGAACAGATCTTTCGCTGAAACTTATACGAGAAATGGGGGCTGAGGAGGAGACGAGGCTGACCAAAAGACAAAGCAAGATGGTTCACGACAAGGTCACAGCGTTCTATGACGAGATACTCAAGCATCCGGCGCTGAACAGCAACCGGATTGCGTTCAGCCAGAAGAAGCCGGATTTCGCCACGTTCCGTCCAGATCACCCGGAGGGGACATCTCTGCCTCATCGGCGGGTGAGAGCAGAGAATGTCTCATGTACATTTCTGAATAATAACCACAAAACAACCCACGTCAGCAAGTCCAGTTTTTTGTTAAGAATGGAGATCCCACATGCAAACTGATGAACCAAAACTGTGAAGATAATTTTTCACAAGGATATAAGCATGTACAATGGCCAGTTCCATCGACGTATTACTCCTACAAAGTGCTTCGCACTTTACCCTGAAGCACCAGGCAACAATTGTTCCCCAAAGTTCAGACTACATGTACAGCTTGGGCGTATACTTGTGTGATACATGTCTCAGTTTGGTCACTTTCCCTTACAATCTGACAGATCATTGTCTCTGCTCCAGCGAGAGTTCTACATTCGCTACGTGTCTATAACAAAGGGTGCAGCCCACTGATTCGCTTTAAATATCTCCTCTGCCAGTTAATTTTGAGCGTTAACTATCAGCGAGAACTGACCTTGAATTTAAGTTGTATGGCATATACAACATGTACACAACACGATAGGGTTATAGGTGCTGTATAAATTATATACATTCTTGCTGCACTTAGACCCTGCTTACATTGGGCATTATAAATATGATGTTTTCCACGGTTAGAAACCTCGTAAGCAAGATATTAATTTGTCAGACAGAGGCAGGAGACGTCAACACGTAAGACATTATGGGGCTGTAACACACTACTTGACCCTTTCGCAGGGAAAAAGGGCAGCCGGCATTCTAACCGAGATCTGCACAAGCGTCAGAGGCTGGGAGCAAGAGAACAGGGGCGTGACAAGGAACCACGACGTAGTGAACCTATACCCAGATCAGCATTTTTATACCACAAGGTGTCTGAGTAACGGTCAGAGCTGCAACTATATCAACGACTGGTAAGATGTACATATGAAATTGAATCGGCAGGGCATTCAACCAGCGTTGAATTACTACTCTTTCGTTTTAATTGAAAAAAAAAGTGGCAGGGGGGAAATGGTGTGAAACTTTAAATTTCTTTTCGGTTGTGATATATCCCACATGCCAGCGGCCTACGCACGTAAACGTGACAGTATATTATCGGTACACGTTCACTTTACCGTGAAGAGTAAAATGATTACATTTGAGATCTGGCAATTCCCAACTAATCGTGTGCTTGTGTGTATCCCACAGCTGACACCTTTTTCATAGGGTAGCCGCAATGGACTCTTTTAGAATACAAATACAAACCTCAAAATGCATCTTTTGTATCTCACTAAACCTCATTTTCAATTATTATTTCACTATTTCAACAGAAGTTTGCTGCCAATCGTTTGCTTTTTATGCTAACTAGTAATTTCCATATTCATGTGAAGAACGGAAATACCATCCCAGGAAGAAAACTTCATTATTATATTGTTTTTGCACATGAAACTGCATTTTAAAAAAGATTTTGGAGTTCCAATTTTTTTCTTTATCGCTGATCCATTGTTTGGCAAAGTATACATAGCAGTGAGCAAGAAATAATTTTTTTTTCGGAAATGATTTCAGTGAGTAAATTGTCAGTTCACAATTTGAATTGAAAACCTGCGTAATGAACCATGTCTTCCAGAAATGACATCCCAACAACAACGTCCTCAGTTGTCCAGGAAAGCATTCATAATATCAATAGTTACAAAAAGTGCCCTTTTCAATACATTTAACCTAAAAGGTGTCAAATATTTAAATACTTCTTATAAATTGAAGAAGAGTATACAATTACAAAAATAATGTCAAAATAAACTACACTGTATCCACACTCTAAGAGTAGAATATGTGTGCGTGTGATGAACTTACAGGAGAGTAACTTCAGAGTGTACGACGCGCTCGTCGTGGACAATTGCATACGTGGAGGTGAACGACGGAGAGACTGTTCGCTATGATTGGGAGTGGATCGCCATAGATACATGCTGCAGCTGTGCCGCCAGCTCAAAGTAGTTGAAAAAAATGCAGAAGGTACTTCCAACGGCCAGTAAAATCTCCTCTTCAGAAGGAATCGATTTGTATCTTGTTTATGAACGTCTTGGACCGATCAAGCTAATTCACTCGAGATGCCTTAATCATGGCCCAGCTTTATTTTTGTTGTATAACTGTATACCACGCCTTACAAGACACTATTTATTCGATACGTAATTACGTGTTAACTGTGATCGTTGAAAAGCTTACGCCTGTAACTTCTGACATACATGACGAGCAAATCAGCGTCAACTTTCTCAAGTCAAAAATAACGCCATTAATGACAATCGAAATGCGCGAACGCAAACAGCTACTCAATTGTCGTGTCGAATAGCGATGAATTACAATAAATATAAAAAAGATGTTGAATAAAAGGTCTTTCAACCATCCATATGCTGTTTTAAAGGTCCTCTGATTGAAACACTGAAAAACAAAAATATTTTGGTTTTTTTTTTCAGTTTAATTTTATTTCCGTCACTGAAAGAAAGGCTTGACTATACTTCATATCTAATAATACATGTACATGTTACATTACAGTTTGATCCTGATGTGCAGTTAAGATTGTATACAGTTTCAGCGACTGTTTCAAACATTTACAATTTAAAGACGCTTTTAGTGACTGAAACGCGGCTGCATTATCCCAGTGGAAAAGCTTATACTGCGAAGACACTGGTACAATAATGTGTTTTGCCTGTGCCCTCTTTATCTCTGTTGTTTGCCTAATGTATTCTTCAGCCGACCAATAATTTGGGACTTATCGGTGAAAAACAACGGCAGTGTATTTAGGTTTAGACCCTGCAAGAAATTCAGAGACACGTGCTCGTTTCTTTCAGATACAAATTCATGAATACAAAAGGTCAGGCTGCACAAAAAAAATAAAAAGTGCACGTTGACTGAGCCTTGCCTTTGGGATCCAGGCAAAGAGGTCTGTGGCGCGATAACATCAGTTATGGTAAACGAGGTCTTTTTAGGCACAAATATGACAGTGAAATCTCTCCCGGTGAAGAGTGGATTATCATGCATCGGGGAGAACTAAATTTGGTGGTTTTATGAAAGGACCAGTGTTTAACGTTTGGATAATGGCTTAAATCCCGAGACGAATTAAGACGTTCACTTTAGAGAGTTGCGTGGTCGCAAGGGCGTAGGTGTGGGACATCTGCTCAATATGCCTGTTATTTGTACATTGAATTTAAGTGGAAAACAAGTGAGTCGGTTATATTTTGCTGCAAGATGTATAAATTACGTTGATTTTAAATGAAACTTATAAGCTTGGCTTCTTTACCAAGAGAATAAGTAATATATAAAGGTAATCATTTCTCTTGCCTCTTTTGTTTTGATTACACCAAAATAAACTGTTTAAACTCGTGATCCTAGAGTGGTTACAGAATGGTTTCATTTGACTAGCCTAAATAACGCAAGACCATTCACTTAAAAATGGTGAATAACACGGTGGTCTCTTTCCGTCTACTTTGTCGCGATGAGCTGGACATATTGCCAAGGTGAATTCGTGCCGAAATTGTCCCGGGAAAACTTGCACAAGTCTGCCATGCATTCCGGGCTGTACTTTTCCGGTATCGACTGCAATGTGGTCAGCACTCCGTTATAGCCTAACAAAAGAAGGGAGTTATCCTTTGTCTTCTTTTTCTTTTCTTTTTTAATCAAAGTGTACGCTCTTGAGCACAGTGGGTGTTTTTTATATTCTTGAAATTGGTTGAACCGTTTTGTCATTCATCGAGCCAGTTGTTAAAAATTCATCAAGTACTTAAAAATGAGCTTGTTAAACAATCGAATTAATGCCCAAACAATACATCATTGGTATAATGAGTTGTTTTACAGCATATTTCAATCAGACATTGAATGACAACCCACGTCTAATGCAAGTCAAAAGGGGCGGTGTGTTTTGAAGCAGGTTCCTAAGAATTCAAGGTCAATGTCTGAGCCCACGGTCGGCTATTTTAAAGCGAGCCAATGTGTAAAATCTGGCTCGCACCCAACTGAGTCCATTACACATGATCCTTAGTGTACTAGTTGCACTACACAGTCCTGAACCACCAACACGTTTGGTTGTGTGGGATGGACACCAAGATAATAGTACAGCAGTGTTATAGTCAAGTCTGTTAATGTGACAGGTCCTTCCATAAGCCCAGAAATAAAAAACAGCACTGTCAACAATGGCAGAGGAATGCTTTTGTCACAGCGCATTTGAATAACCTGTGAGTGTGACATATCTTAGGGCTGAGAGACTTGTTGTGGACTTGTCATGATGAGATTGCAGGGACTATATCACCAGTGGTTGTAGCGTGTATGCGTGACATTAACATTTTTACCTTCTGCATCCTCGTCCGAGTAATCGTCTTCAGCAAGTTCATGCTCCTCTATTTTAACGACAGTGAAGCCGTTGTCTGCAAAGAGTTTCTTCACATCGTCCAAGGTCGATTCTACAACGACGTTTCTGCCGGGTTTTGCGTCCTGCGTCAATGATTCGGAAGGAGTTTGTCGGATTTAGTGATTAATCTGCTGAACGGAAGCGTCAAGAGTGCAGTGAGTTCAAAAATGAGGCTGAATGATCTAACAACATTTTTGTTTACTTCCTAAATGGATGTAGTCCACGTATTTCTTTTCTTTAACAATAGAGGGCAACATTTGACTACAGCCGACAGCAACTGAAATACGACATGGTGTATCGTGTGCAGAGCTGAATATCGAGTAGCGCCAACTTAAGACTTGGGAGCCAAAATGGCTGTTCATTGTGTCTGCACATGGTGCTATAAAACACAAGGAGTACGTACATACAAAGATCAAAAGGGTCAATGGTGGCCACCGCCAGCACTGCGCGTGCTGTAAGGACAAAACAAATGCCGCGCCGCTTGCAGGCTATAAGGAATGCTCAAAGTTGCATTTGGGCAGGATCGTGGGTACTGCGCATGCGTGTCCGTAACACTTCACGTGTTCTACATGGCCGCCTTGGGACGGAAACCACCGTGATCGGAGACTTAATTTTAGTTAGTGATTGTTCTGATATTCCAATTACAATGAAAATGTGGTTGTGTCTTCACATCCCCAAAACGTCTCTTTTAACAATAAACAGAATTACTAACTAATACAAATTCTCCAAAAAAAAAAAAACCAACAAGAAAACTGAGAGAATGTAGCTGATCCAGAGTAAAATAAAAAAAAAACACATGAAAACATGGGAAGATTCATTGTCCTTTCTGTCATTGTCCACAACTGTCTCGGCATGAAACTTCACCACGTTGTCAAATGCATTCCTGCGGCATGTTTCCACCCTCTTTTAACCGTAGCAACCACTTGGATATGAATGTCGCAGTTCATATTTTGGGTATTTATTCTCTACCGCCGGAAACGCAAAATGTCATAACTGACTTTAAAAAGTCCGACTTTTGCGATATAACCACCGCTGATTTGGAATTTTCGAGTGCATCTGTGGAGATCACTCGCTGACCTGAAGACTACTGAAGAGAACTGCGCATCCTCTTTGTGCATCTTTTTCACTATTTATTTACTCCAGTGTGCCACAGCGAAACACGGCGAGTCTGTGGGTTACCAGCTACCTTTGTATACATGTATACAAAGAATGTCTAGGGTCTTCAACACTGGGGCTGGTAACCGTGCTTTGTCTATGGAGCCGACCGGGAGCAGTCAATCGGATTACGGTCTGTAGGGACTTCGTTCTTACTCCTTGTGTTTGATAGCTCCATGGTCGCAATACAGCATGCAGCTATTGTGCGCAAACTGGCCATATGTACCCACGCATAATCCACATTTTTGCTTCCAACAACTGAGACACTCACGTCGCAACTCTCTCTATGACACGGCCCTGGCGTCATGCGAACAAACGACAAGAATTCGTCACTTCGTTGCATGTCTAATCGATTCCAATCAGCCAGTAAGACAAGGCCCACACAGAATATGGCTGTGGCTAGAAACAGCACACGCGACAACGGAAGCTAGTGGGTTGTGGCTGTCATGCAGCCACTTGCTGTATCATCTCTGCTACTTTCAGCTGTAACCTTTTGATCTGTAAACAGTCTTAGTAGTTTGCGGGACAACTTAATTTAAGTCGTGCTGTACTCCAGGTGCCTGTTGTTTCACACGGACTCTGAATCTCGCTCAGTGATCCTAAATCTGTTTCGCACCATCCATTAGGCGAGTTTTGGTGTCTGTAAACCAACGACCGTGTGATCTAGATCAGTGATCCAAAAGCTGGTTCGCACCATCCATTAGGCGAGTTTTGGTGTCTGCAAGCCAACGACGATGTGATCTAGATCAGTGATCCTAAAGCTGGTTCGCACCATCCATTAGGCGAGTTTTGGTGGCAATAAACCAACGACGGATCACCGATCGTGACCCAGATCTGTGTGAAACAAAAACGGCCCAGGTTTCTGAAAGTGCACACTCTAAAAACTGCACATGCCCGACGTAACGTTTTGGCGCTTAACATTAGTTGCCAAATTCCTTATCAGTCTTCAACGGCCACACTACACTACTACACCGTCATCAAAATTCGCTTAGCATTCAAACATACCACCTGACAGCAGAAACGAGTTTACTGATTAGCTTAAAACAAATTATGACTTGTTATTTATTTCAACAAGCTGTGATAGAGTCTAACACCAACTTTACCTGCGCAGAAAAAAAACACCTATTGAGAGATCCCAATAAGACATTTTTAGCATCGATCTGCGCACTTCCGTGTTTGAAAACGAGGCTGTATGTGTCAGCTTCAATTTTTAATACGATCAAACAATAGAAAGTAAGGAGTCAAGACACAAAATACATAAAGGTATGTTAAATTCAGACTTTTCACGCTGCAGATTCTCGTGGAAGAGTCTTTCAGGATGACTCGACGCATAAAATCAAGAAAAAAAAATAATGACGATTTGCCGCGAACTAACGTACCTGCGATGGTCGTGTATCTGCATTGCATGTACTGTGTCGACTCCGCGAGCGCGCTTGACGAAGGTCAACACAGAGAGCCTCGGTTTCGATGCCGATATGCGCAGACAGCGCTAATGTGAAATCCCTCTATTCTGTCAAGAATTCATTGAGAACATCTGACTTTAAACGACACAAACTTTCACCTGTCACTACGACAGCAGAAGTACCGAAATGTATATCTACCTTAACAAACTCGCCCCACTTGGGGTGGTTCCGTATGAACTCTCCTGCCTTGGCCGTCCAGCCGTGACTGTCCCCAAAATAGGTCAGGTGGAGCCGGCCCCCAGGCTTGGTGCAGTGGTGCAAGTTCCTGATGAACTTGCCGTAGTCGTCCAGGAAGTGGAGCACGAAGCCACTAATCACCAAGTCGAACTTTTCTCGCCACTCCTCCCCGTGTTCTCTCAGGTGGGCGCCAAAGTCTACCACCTGGTAAGTGACGTTGGGGATGGTATTTGCCTGTCTTGCACTTTGTATCGCGGCGCCGTCATTGTCAACACCTACAAAAAAAGATCCAACGCATGAGGCAATGTACAAGACGTTTCATTTCCCCATACATGAAAAACTGTGATATCGAATTCACTTTCACTGGTTAACATGTTATGTCACATTCAAACATGTTTGCACATACATATACATCTGTTTAGAGAAGACTCTTGCTAACTTGCCAACACTCATTTATGCAGACTCCTTCACATTTCTCTTGCATATCTTTTCTCTCTCCTTTGTGCATTTCTACAGAATGTGAGATGATTACCCAAACAACCTGCGAATGACGCTGACTACACTGCTTGTGGCACGCAGGGCACCAGTCTGCCGTATGTGCCATTAATCTGAATAACAACAACGTGAAATTCCATCATGCTACAGTAGCGAGGCTGTGCAACTCAGTAAATCATTACATGTAATTTGTACCTGTTCTGTCATGGCTAGAGCATTACCTGTAAAAGGAAATCTGTTTTATTTTTTAGAGGGATGACGAGGCAAATACGCTTGCAGAAAAGAAATAAGCTGAAATCGCTTTGGGTGAAGGATCTGTCTCTTTGCCTTGCGTAGTAATGCCTTCTTCACTTCCATAATCTTGGGAGCAATCGGTTGATCGTGCAGATCGGCTGTTCACACTCAATATAAATACAGATACGCGAACATATAAGAACTTTTGCCCTAAATCGGAACACACAATTATGATTGGCTCTACCTCAAAACATCACATTTCCCTTCGTTCCTTTATACGGAAACGTCTACCACCACACATAAAACTATTTTTCACGTACGTACGAATTAGTTTCAAGTTCGTGCGTGTTAGTTTTTACGAACTTACGTTATTAGTTTCACGTACAGACATGAAAACTGTTAGTTTCATAAAAGGAAAAACCTTTTTTGTGTGTGTTGCTGAACTTCTATGCTATAAAAGCCGTACGCCCACAGGCGAGCAATCACCCGGTATTGCAACAAATCACACAATTCTGTCACCCAAGTCGGACTTGAGTCGAGTCTTCATAACACAAATCATTTCAACTCTGCAGTGACCCACACCTACGATAGAGTGAACCTTTGCAGACAGTTCGGCCATGAACTCCCCGTCGGCGCACCCGACGTCCAAGAGTCGGTGCTCCTTGTCCAGTTCCATCCCTGCGAGGAACCGCCTCTTGTAAGCCAGCTTGCACTGGTACAGTTTGCTGTTCTCCCAGTCGTACTCCTCGTCTCCATAACTGTGGGAATGGTGCCCCTCATCGGACTCTGCCATAGCTTCTGCAGATTTTTGGAGTTTACGCCTGTCTCTGCCGGGAAGGAATTAAAGGCAGAAGAGAATTACTTGAGGAAATGCGAGACATACTTTTTAAGAAATGCTTGGCCTATTCCACAGTGAGGCGCGCCATCAAACCTCATCTGAGTGGAGCTGTAGAAGGACAACAATACCCCTCCGTCCATTTGGTGGCCGATACATGCACACAGACTGTCCATCTGTGCAGGATGTATTCGAAACGTGTCTGTTTTTAGAAATATATTTTATTGTGACCTGCATTTCCTAAATTATTATCATCTACACGTATGTACAAGCCTGTGTCCTATTCTCCAATGCATTCTTGCAAAGTTTACTCCTATTTTTGCATTAAAGAGGATTCATGCAGAGGCGTAAATTTTGTGCCAGGAATTGGGGAAGGGGGCAGGAGGGGGTGGAAGGGCTGGGGGGATGACTTTCCCTGTCACAGCCACTTGGCCATTGGGGATGCTGACTCCAAATGACACCATATGTTCAATGTTGGCCAATGTTCATGACGCTCAGCTATTGCACTCCAGCAGAACCTGGTGTTATTATGGCTTTTAAATTTTTTTCCCTTTTGAGTGCTTTTCAATAAATTTTTGGTTATTGGAAAGTGAGAAATTCTTTACGACCCGAATTAATTTTTCTCACCACAAAAAGTGGGGCCATCATAGCCTATCCACTTCAGTCAAACAATGTGGGGCATTTGATGCGCGATATGTGGCAAAGAGGACCCCCCTCTATCGTGTCTTCTTTTGTGTTGACGGAATCTTTGCAATTCTTTTCAGATTTCTGGGGGAGGGGTGCTGTAGGCACAATAGCCTTAGGGTATATAGCTTGTGCATCACATGAGAGGGTCCCCCTTTGCCACTTACGGTGCTGGATATAGTGTGGGGTGAGATATACATGCAGGCCTACTCCCATTCCCAAAGACTTACGCCAAAGGACAGGAGATGCCCTCGGCTATTGAGAATTAATATTTTGCCGATGCATCGATTATTCATTCTCATCCGTGATTGATTACGGGAGACATAGCCTACACACACACATCTTATTGGTGGCGATTACCTCTCAAAAGCGGGGTTAACCGTGGATTGGCAAAGGCCGACACAAACTGACAAGGGCCTCTGTGGTGAATTCCTTGAAAAGAAGTGTGTGTGTGTTGCTCGGGGACGACTTCCCTCGTATTTGTCCAACCTATCGACACGCCCACACAATTCCTGCACCAATATTCAAATGATTAAGAACCTCACCCTGTGCCATGGTGATCATGAGCAAGAAGTGATACTAGGCCTACGTGCTTGGCGTACTGACCACCAAAAAATAATGAATGCATAGGCCTGCGCTTAAGAAAAAAACATTACATTAAATCGTGGCACAGGGGGTAGCGGGTTAGCGTAGCGGTTCTTTCCTCGCTTCGCTTTGCCCGGGTTCGAGTCCTGCCTTGGCCCAAGCTTTAAGTGCATTTGGTTTCTAGGCCATACTCGCTCTCGCACGTTTTCTCCGGGTACTCCAGTTTCCTTCTGCCTCTAAAACTGGACCTTCTTCCTAAACTCCGTGATGCTGATTAACAAAGTGTATGAATAAATGTACGGTTATTGGCGCAAATAGCCTGAGATGCTGAAAGCGCCATTAAAACAAAACAACAACAGTCGTGGCACATTAGGCTATGCCGCAGAGCTAGAGAGAGATAGGGTTATATCCGCATATCCCTATAAGGCTATATTTCATGTTGAACCGTTGTGCAGTCTTCAAGCAGCAAGTATACATAAAGTCCTCCACAGCTTGTACATTGTTACTGTCACGTCACACTTACACAGTCTTTACATACCCTTGTTGGATTCAGTCTCGGAATAACGTTGAATACTGAACTTGAAAATGATGACTGTGACTTGAAACGGTAGGCTTATACATGCACGTTTTCCAGAATGCCAGAAATCGACCTCTGCGGGGGCTATATCGTCCCACCCGGTTGGTACTCTATAGGTCTGACCTATGAACCAGGTTGCATTCGTGCACAGCCTGAAAGCAAAGCACTCACAGGCATTGTTCAGAGTCAAGGTGACCCTTTGGGGCAATCCTTTTCACCAGTTTACAAATCTCACTGCTTGACTGTTGTTGGATCTGCTCCCGCCATTTTCCTTAAACTTGTTCCTAGTCACCTTTATGTTGGAGCGATCATTGCACTGTAGATGTGACACCCCGGCTGAAACGCTCGCATAAATTATATAGAACTTTTGGCTTGATCACTAAAATAGTGCAGTGCACGTGCATTGCATGTGGAAATCTACGGTAGTTGATCTCCGCCAGGAATACACTTTTTTATTTTACGGCGTTATAACGCCCTAATTTATGGCGCAAAAACGCCCTATTTTAAGGCGTAACAACGCCCTATAAGGGCAGCGCCCTATAAGGCGTAACAACACCCTAATTTAAGGGCGTAATAACGCCCTAATTTCAGGCCTAATAACGCCGTATTTTTTAAGGTGTCATGACACCCTATCATGGTGTTATAACGCCAAATTGCGGCGCTTTTATCACAAACCTTGCAAGATTCGAACCGTCCAACCATGGCCGCAGTAACTGCAAATAGTTTGCGCATATAAGCGGAGCCACGTGTGTTATTGCGTGGACGCCGTAGAGTGTTATTCAGCCTTCAGCGCTATACGATCTTTGGTTATTACGTCACAATAGGGCCTTATACCTCCATAACTTGACAGGGCGTAATTATGCCTTAAAATGGGGCGTTATTACGCCATAAATTAGGGAGTTATAACGCCATAATAGGGCGTTATAATGTCGTATCAGGGCGTTATAACGCCGTAAAAAAGTGTATTCCTGGCGGAGATCAGCCACCGTAGAAATCGATATCAACACTGAGAGCCGAGACGCAATTTTTCAGGCTACATGCTTTTTCGGTGACTCGAAGAAATATATCGTATAAAACAGATCTGTCGGTTAGAGATAATGACCACTGATGATCTGAATGCCGCCACGTCAGTACTCAATTGCCGCAGAAAGTGGAAAATCTTTGCTGTGTACAATCAATTAGGTTCTTTTGGAGACACTTCTCGGTGTTCAAGTACCACGGGCTGATAAAAAATTACAGGAGCATAGAAATTAATAGGAATCAAGACAACTTCTGTTCATTCATGAGCATCTCAAAGATTTTTCAAGGGGACAAATTTTTTTCCAGGGGGGATTTTCGGGGGGAGGGGACACAGCAGTTCTCAGCTAAAAACGATTGAACAGCCTTTAACATGAATTTATCCCCTATCATTTTTTTTGCGTCCTTTTTTCAGTATATTTTCTTTTTCTTCTTTTACTTCTGTTTTTTTTGGTCATTTATTTAACAAATTTCCGGGGGGGGGAGGCAAGCGCCCTTTGTCCACCCTGAAGCACATGCATTTTGTCGCCCAATGAACGGGAACAGAGGGATCAACTGTTACTCCTCGATGTGCGCGCTAACGTTATCTTTATGAATTAAGCTAATTGGAATAGGCTTGAAGCGAACACGAAAAGTACTCCTCAACCTTTTTCCACATCCCTGTCTGAGCAATAACCACAATCTCTCCTCATTAAATTTAAATTGGAAATATCACGTGATCGGAGTAATTTAATTATTTTAAGACTGAAGCTGGTGCAGTAATACGCACAACGTTTTAATGTTTTGCTAAAATCATCATTTTCCATGAAATGAACTTCACCTCTGTCAATATTTTTAGCACTTATGCTAAGTATTTTGGTTAGAAGTTAATGAGCAATGGCGTGGCAGACTCGCGGGATTTTCAGAGGGGGGTAAGCGTACGTTTCGACAGGGGCCTTGAACCCTTGATTATGTAGCCAGTATATTCGGGGGGGGGGAGTTCCTACTGAGTGGGGTAGTTGGCCCCCTTCCTGAAATTGGCTATAGACCTACTATGTCATTGTTCCTTCAGAGCGGTTCCTTCATGGATCACCGATGGTAATACGTAAACGGATGATCTTGCATGGATCCGAAATCTGTGTAGGAATAGTTTTAGAGTCAGGGCCTATTTACAGTAGTTGACATGAACTCGGTTTGTGTTTTGTTTCGTTGTGGGTATTTTAAAGCTGTTGACACGATTTAGACATTGACGTAGTATGGTGAATCGGAGTTCGTTCAGACGCGGACCAGAGCAAACTGTGAACATTTACGGGTACAGTGTGCTGGCGCCCTCTATCTAAGTCATCTGCAAGGACTCAGTTGCTAAGAGTGGAAAAAAAGCAACAGAATTGTGTATGGTGCCTTCAATGTGTGAAGTTTTGCTGGGCCGATATACGTGGCCAGATTTCACATTCTTATGCTAAATTGTAGGACACGATTAACAGTAGATAACTAATCCTTTTTGGATAATGTCAAAGGCTGTGCCACTATACTCTACATGAAAGTTCTACCAACCATGTTATTTGTTCGCCGGTCCTTGTCACGGTGAATCACCAAAAATCAAGCGTACACATGACACAAAAGAAATGTCTCAACAGAAGTATCTTAATTGCGTAGACCAATGCAAAGTAAGTGTGCCTGTCTTTGAAATGTTGACAAACTATATAACCAACGCCCGCTAACGTACAACTCTCTGCAGTTGTTTGTCTAAATTTACATCTTTACAAGCGCACAGAGCTCCAAATCTTGTCCCCAACAATCGACACAATGATCCGTCCGGATCACTTGAAGTGCTTCAGGAGTACCGGCTGTTTGTGGTGCGTTCTTCGTCATTGTTACCAGCCCTCGTCACCTGTTTAGTTTACGTTGGGCGCTGACGTTACATTATCTGCAGAAGATTGAGCCCACCAGCTTCATGACACCTCATCGGATAGGTACAAAAGGACGAACTGTAGACGTGAATCAACGTTGCCTGGTGCCCGTGGATATTGCCGGTAATAAGCTTGTACACATGTGCTTAGAAACAGGGATTTGGGAATGACATGAATGAATTCGAATGCCCAGCCCAGTTCCAGGCTCAAATTAAAACCCAGCGGTACGCGGGTTAGATTCGTTGCACGGCTGAAATAAAAAGGCGACTTCGATAATAGTTACAAGTACAGGTGTCACAACATAGATCTGTCTTCGTAAATCGTATTGCTATCAGAGGAACTTTGGACCTTTCGCAGGATCACCCAGGTGTCAATAACTTCAAAGAAAGAAGCAACTGCCTCAATCTCCGCTATATGCCGTCTTTGCCCTGCATGCAGCTTCCGTCTCGTCATGAACTGAAGGCACCTTAAGTTTGACAAGAACGGTGTCTCAGAGGACGGCGTGGATGAGTGTTTAGTGCCTGTCGCCAATGAATTTCACGGCTTCCACCACTGGCTCTGGTTCGACGGTGACAGCTCACTGGGCCATGAGTTGCTCCTGTAAACAGCGCAAGCGCCCGACACAACTGCCAATCTGGTGGTACAAAGTGTACTGAAGAATATACTGTGCGCGTATTTTAGTTCTCTGCTACAAGTGCGGATCAACTTTGCACTGAAATGAAAATGATAATGAGGCCTGGCAGAAAACCCCGAGATCATGGAGATTGACTCTACTGACATGACGACGCTACTCAATGCACTACTCGTATACTGTGCACATTTGACTCGATTAACCTCCTAACCTCCGCCTCGTAGATTACGCTGGAGGGTTGCCGATGAACCACCGCTCCGGTCCTAAAGAGAATGTCAGTCTACAGGATGTGCATATTTGTAGACTTATAATGCACACAGAACCACAAACGCGCTCCGACAACAGGGTTATGATCACAAATTTCCCAAACTGCGCCTTCGTCAGTGTAGTGAAACAAACCATGACGGTTTTTTTGTGACCAATATACAATCCGATCTTTGTAGTTTTGCAGTTATCACGGAACAAACAAACTTGTGACTGCTCGGAGAAGCATTCAGAGTGGCGATCAACTCCAAGAAACACGACTGACATCACCGGGATCAATCGTCAGGTTCAAGCCACCATGGAAAGTGGAGAGGGCTTCATGTCGGTCATGGACCATGGAGTGGAGGTGAGCATCGAACATCTACCCAAGATTCCCTGCTCCAAGTTCACCATCATTGGGAACTCACGCATGCGCAACAAAAAACCCGTGCGGAAAAAGGAGCGGATGTGGAAGGTGCCAAAAGGCTTCCGGCGACACCAAACCGATCAAGAGAAACACGGTCATGATTTAAAGGAACCCCTGAAGGTCACCGCCAAGTCCTTGGAACCGAAGTTTGGAAACCAAGAGGAGAACAATCGATTGGATAGGAATGGAATTTATGGAGATGCCTTTCAGCGAACTTTGGACCTGACGCATCCTGGGAACGGCCGCAGTCCCGCTCCGCGGAACAACAAACCAAAAATCGAGAAAACGATCATCGACAACTATTATAGAGACAAGACTAGCCTGTATCTCCCTCAATTAAGGAAGAAAAATACCGGCGAAAGCTCCCGGAAAGCTAATGGTTATGACTTGTCCCTCCTGTCGCTGTCGAAGGGGAAGCTTCAAAATACGCAACAAACCAGTGTGACCAAAAGCTGTCAGGGTAATGCCAGGCATTACTGCGATGTGGTCGGCCAGCGATACTGCTCCGCCTGTTTACGCGTACATCGTCTGGACAAACTGGCCTACCGGGCTACGGAAGGTGGGAAACAACCTCACCGAAACGCCAAGTCCAAATTAGGGACGGCCTTACCTACTCTCCGGACGGGAGCTTCCTTCTTCAGCAAACAAGGAGGTTGGGTGGCCGACACACCGAGCTCGAACACCCAGTCGCGGACGAAATCTTCGCCACTGCTGTCGCAGACGCACTCCCATTATGAGCCACGAAGATGGGAAAGGATGAGTGACTTACCGACAGCACTCAAGACGCAAGAAGACAGAAAGAGACGAAAAGTGACTGAAAAGGCGACAGTGGGGTTCAAGCGACTACCAGATACGCTCGATATTACCACCGATACAGAAAGCAGACATTTGAATTCGTAGGAGAGGAAAATGAAACAGTTGCTGTAGAACTAATGTAGGCCTACATCAAAAAATTATCTCGCAGTTCAAACCTCTGAGTGGGATTTCAACATGACAAACGTGCGTTTTGTTATTCATGTAAAGTAGCAGCGGTTCTGAAGAACTTACCCTTTCGTTTCAGACGGAACGATTAATCTTCTTCAAAAGTTAAGATTGAGAAGGTACGGCGCACAAGTCCAACTGTGAAAGCAAAGCTTGTGAAGAATTTTTGTACGTGAAGAATTAAGCATAACAAGATCAAAACACAAGTAAGCAAAACAAATGAACGAGCATTTCTATAAGCGGCAATTCTTAATGAGGGAAGACCTCTGTTGTTTTGTGGAAACCTGGATAGATGTAAAACGGGATAGAAACATTGTATAGCATTTGGCAAGGTTTTCATCTCGTGAGTGGACGTATAATACAAGTACATGTAGTCAGCTCCGAATGGAAAATAAGAATTTGAAACACGCTGGAAAGCACTAAGTTTTAAGGGTCTATTTTGTTTGTGAGGTTTTACATGAATTTATCGATAGACAGTGAGTCAGGCATATATCTTGCTTGGGAATCTTTTATGTATTGGCTCCATTTTATTTTACATGTACGTGTATTTATTTTTGTGTGTGTGTGGGGGAACAAAAGACTTAAAATATAATCATCTGTCGCTTACCTGAAGAAAATCTGCAATTATATCGTGCATGTTCATAATGTAAATTTTATCTGCATCTAATGCTGGGATCTGTGAAGTGTTCTAATTGAACTTTTCCCCAATACTTAGTGATTCATTAAACACCTCCTTACATCATTAGTTACGAGTCTTGTGGAGAGGATGTCTGTGCTCGCAGTGGCTCAACAGGCGGGTGCTGATGGCCTACAGCAGAAGAAATGCTTTATAACCAACATATTCTTTAAAAAACTGGGTCCTGAAAGTAACATCAGGTAAGCCCGAAGTCTGTGTGAATGGACCTGTCTCGAGCTAAGAGCTGACGGTTATGGCTCTGTCCAAAAGCACTGGTTGAGGTAGGGATTTATAAAACGTGTCCACGGACGGCTGCAGCCACATACTGTAACACACAATCAGCTTCCACGGGCGGCAGGTGTTGTACTGGCTGATCACAATCTAAACTTCTCGACGTAGCCTTAACACCCACTGGCCCTTATGTAGCTTGTTTTGAAAGAGGGATGATTCAACAATTTGCTGCATAAATGACACTTACAAGTGTCGGGTGTTTGGATTTGGACGCACTCGACCTCCGCAATTATACCAAATACGGTTCAGGGACAAAATTATGCTTTAAAAATGCACGGAGTGACACGCGTTTGCGTGCTTTGCTGTCAGATACTTTTTCCTTACTGTCAACTTCTTGAAGGGGGGGGGCCCAATATTTGCCAAAAAACACCGTTGAGTGGTTAGGTTTCGCCTAAAAATGCACATATACTCCATTAGTAATAAAGAGGGAGGTATTTTCACTGCAGTGTTTTTGCAGATGTGTAAGTTTTATTGAAACTTTACTGCCCTTTTTAGCCTGTGCTGACGACCGGCAATGGGTTTAAACAAAAATCGATTGCAATAAAAACAGGGAGGTATATGTACTCACCAGACTTCACATGCTGTTTACCACGTCCAAAAGGTACATTTCTATGCACGGTGCTCCTGCAATATCTTTCTCCGACTTCTCATTTGCAAGGAATTTGTGATAGCGTTTACTATCATCTACGTAATGTCGGTCCCAACCATGATTGGAACGATGCTAGCTCATGCAGCTGCTGCAACGAGCCTTGCAGCTCCACCCATAATGCGGGCGAACGAAATAACAATTCGCGCCAACGAATTTATAAATGCCCTTGCCTGGCTCCATAGGCATGGAAATGGCGGCGATTGAAATTGATAAAACAAAACATCCACAGGAAATCCACGCCTCACGCTCATTCATGAACGTGTAGATGCTGCAGTGTGCAGGCTGCGTAAAGCTGAGTGCGCACTGGATTGATGGAGTTCACCCACAGTTTCACATTCGGCAGTGACAATGCATTCCGTGACCGAAACTGCCAAGCCATCTGAGATTTCCCTTGTTACAATAAGACTGCAACGACAGCTGTTGGGATATTGAAGTTTGACACAATACCCCATTATCCCATCAAGGCTGCCTGGAAATGGTGGAATCTCGGCTGACAAGATAAAGTTTGCAGCAGCACCGTGAATAGAATACATAGTGTATGTCTTTCGTTAGCTATAGTCAGGCTTTGACAAAATAAACTGGAGAGTTTTATCCAATAGTATACTTTGTTCTTCCACCATGCAAACTTTTAACTCCATCTGGTTCAAGTGTCCATTCCTACGGGAACTTCAAAGCAATGTTTATCACGAAATTAATGTACATGTATATTCGTACCTTGAATAGTCAGATGGAAGGGATCATCTGGGGCTATAATTTTCACGGTGAATCATCGGACATCACAAATTAATAATTGGCTTCGCTTCTGTAGTCACATGATGTATGATACTGATTTCATGTCCTGAAGAGAGAATGACAATCTAGTACCCTTGTGGTTTATTCACACTCATGACATTTTATTACTGAGTCTAAAAAACACACAGAGTGAGTCACTGTAGTTCATTTGCAATTTAAAAGCAACTTAATTATTAAAATCGAATCAACGAAACAGTCATAAAACCACACAACGATTAATAAAAAGGAAGAACTCTGAACAACACACTAATAAAATAAAATGCAGCGTCACCACACGTAGGGAAACATCTTTTTTTCACGTATATTACTAAACTGGGATCAAACAAGATCTCACAACCCACTCTGTTCAAAACTTTAAAGTTTAAAATCGTAATAAGGAAAAACTCTAATTGGATGCAACAGGAATTAGCAAAATCCGTGGCGCGTAATTCAAACCGGCAAATGCCGTTATAATTTTCTTTTATACATTGTAACAGCTATATGCTAACATGTACATTTCAAACATCAAATGGCAATAACTGTCATAAAATGCAACATGATGATTGTGAGTTTTAAGAAGAACAAGTCCTAATTATCGATGCACTGAGTATTATCCCCGGACTGATCATCGGTTCCATAAAAAAATCCTAAAGCCATCTCAGTTTCCCAGGGAGCCCATAGTTCGATGCTTTTATATCAGGGGTGAAGTACATGTATAACTTGCCAACGGTCGCCATGCAACCAGCTTCTGGATTCGAGCCCCCGACCAAATTGATCGGCCACAATTTTTTTAAAGGAAATTATGAAAGCATCCTCATATAGCCTATCGAGCAGTGATGTTGTCAAGTACTTTATGAGAACCAAGTTCTCTACCCAATATTTAACTAGTTAGGAGGGAACAAAGTTGAAGTACATCGACATTTGATGGTACATGCATAAAGGTAAGATTACAAAGCAACACAAGGACTTCAGACCTTCGCTGTTTTTAACTTTTTAGAACAAAAGTACTCGGAAAGTACTCGGCCGAGTACTTTTCTCCTTAAAACTTAAATTTTACACAACTGGGAGTGTCTGAAGTCTAACATTAATTTGAAATCTTACCTTTGCATATTTACCATCAAATGCCTGTTCACTCAAGCTTTATTCCCTCTTACCCAGTTCAGTATTTTGCGGAGAACGTTGGTACTCGGAAAGTACTCGTCTACAACACTGCTATTGAGAATTGTCCAAAATGAAGGCCTGTGGTAGTACTCTGTTGTACTGTATTGTGTTAGCACGTTAAAGAAATACTCTTTTCTTCGCAACAGTTCGTGTATGTTTGGTATTATTTATTTGATTGCATTTATTAAACGATTAATACAATTTGTTTTGTTTCCCCTAGTTTCAAATACTAATCTTTGTGGACTCGTTTTAAGCAACTAACCTAACAAAAAAGACTCAAACCTATTTAAATATGTCCACAACTAGTTTTGTTTTACTTCGTTGTGAAATGTAACACTGAAGTCATTCAAACTAGTACGTCATAATGTGTCACAGAAAATAATTCAAAGAAATCTACACCAATTTGAAATAACATCAAATGTTTGCATTTCTTATGACAATCCTTTTTTTCTTGTGACATAAGAAATCACTATTTTTAAAATGGAAAGGCAAAACCAAAGTAACAGGAAACGACACCAACGTAACTTCAGCATATTAATGATACTAGTGAGTGGTGTTAATCGCACATAATATACAAATATCGACTACTGCGAGTGGTACAGTAAATTTGCCTCGGGAAAATAGAGTGTTCCATGGATCACCTCGGGAGGCTAGTTTTACTGTCCCGCGAGATAAAGCAGTCAATATTTGTTTATAACACCTCCCCACAGATCCTGCAGAATTTAAGCTAAAAATCAACAATGAAACACCAGACTGGAATTCACATCCATCAAATTAATTCAAGAATTCCAAGCGGTGACGCCTATGCTTTCGTTCCTCCGGATATAGTTCTTTGGTTGCTACGGGTATAGGTTTTTTTTCAGAATGAGGCTGCATGGTATAGTCTTTTTGAAGGGGTGGTATAAAAGGAGTAAAACTACCAAGCGTCACATGACACACTTTCAAAATACAGAATCTGTGGGTGAGGTGTTATAAAACAAACTCTACAAAGTCTATAGAACTATTAGCAAACTTCTATCGTGTTGAATAGTGTTAGTCCTGGTCACTCTGACGCAACAGTGCCCATTTAATTAGCAACAACTCACATAAACAAGGATTTCAGAATTTCTTGAGGAATCTTTGGGTGCATGTATGTATCCCGGAAAAGGAAACATTTTAAGTCCCTGGAAACACTTCACCTTTGTTGTTTGATACACACAGCATGTCAAAAAAGCAAGATATAAAGTTATCCAATGTCTTGGTTAAAAGAAACATAATCTGAGTCGACAAATATTTGCCAAAAGAGAGAGAGAAAGAGATTGAAAAGTCCCGGTTAAAAGCTTGCTTTCATCACTTTCATCCAAGAAACCACTAAGCCTGTCTCTGCGCATGATTCTTACTCTGTCAATAAAAATCCGAAGAAATCAAATGGGGGGGGCTATTGCTATTTCTAGAGGGGTTTTGGTGTGTACTGTAATTTTTTTCTACCTTTATTTTTAATGTTCTGGCATTTTTGGTAACAGCTGCTGTAATCGTCAGCATATAACAGAATCTTACAATAGCAGCAAACAAGGACACACTGACATTTGTCTGTTGTCTGGCAGAAGGACGTATAAAGCGTTTTGCTGATTTCACAATGAGGGTTGTGTGAATATAGAAATCCCCTGAATGCCCTTCTTCCGGTTACGCAATGAATTATTGTCTCAACTTATTAAAACAAATTGTTTTCGAGCATAGCAGTGATCTGAAATGCGTTCCTATTAAGGGGAGGACAGGTTTACCCTGAGACATGGGACACCTTAATTACGGTGCAAGTAATATGTGATCAGTTCTTTTTCCTTTCAACATAACTCCCACGTTGTGGTGGACGAAAAAAAAACGTGGAGGTAACCTAAGGTGACCTCACAACAACTTAGAAACTGAAAAGAAAATAATCACGCTGATTCTACAACATGGTTATTCCAGTCTCAAGATGGTGCATGCTTTCGACAGGCTGACAAAGCCCCAAGCTTGACGACCATGTTTTCAAGAGATAATGAACCTTAACTAGGAAAGAATGTTGATGATACTGTATAGAGATACATCTTCCTTGAGACACTTGGAAAGGGATGACCGTGTTCACCAATGGTCTTAAGGCACAAATATGTTAAAGAAAAAAACCTACCTTATAGGTACTTCACTTGGCGTTCATAGCCAAAGCTTCATTTGAGCGACCACTGTGAAGGAAAAAAGTAATGGAAATGACATTAACTCTCACTAACCAGACCATGCACCGGTTCACGTCAGTCAATATCCATTACAAAGAGCACAATTTTCTCACTGGCGAGATTCTCTTATCCAATACTGCAGCAAACAAATTGTTTGAACTCGTTCATGAATCTTCTGAATGCGCACATCCAAAACATTTGAAAAACACAACGGTCCCTGGCACTTTTCATTTGTGAATTTAATCACAAATACTATCCTAAAACTTTAAATTGTTTGAAGGGGTCCAGCTAAACGAAATAGTCTTGGACCCTGTCAAAAGGAAAATAAACCAACTGTGCTCTGTCAGGACCAGCCAATGTCCCTCAAGTCTTGTCCTGGAGATGGCAATGGCCAATCCGGCAAGTTTGTCAGGCGGTTAAGATTTCTTGCCAAATGGAGAACTATATCATCCAAAATGCTGAGTGAATTGATGCCATATTTAAAGTGAAACTTGAGTGGCTGTTTTAATTTTTCTGTAAAGCGGTCGAGCCCATCACAAAGTTCCTCCAAAAAGTCCTGTCATGAAGCCTCTCACAAGAAGTTACAAGACTAATTACATCCTGTTGCAAGTGACAGGCTGAGCACATATGGCAAAGGGACGCTTCTGTCACGGATGATTTTAACAGCTTGTGATTTGGCTTAAAACTGAATTACTCGTCATGGACTATCTGGGATCTGCCATGGAGTCGCCTTGTTGAAGGGGTCACATTCTGGCCTGGGTCCATCGTCGACTTACACTTCCTCATCCCCGGGTTCCACTCCAGTGATCTTGGTATTCTTGTTCTTGCAGCACATTAAGTAGATGAGGAGACAGACGATGATCAACAGGGCCCCACCGCCCAGACCGACAGACAGACCCACGATTAGGGGGATGTTGGATCCTACTTTGGTGCACTGGTCTCCTTCTGTTCCCTCTGGGCAACTGGAAAAAGAGACAAGGAGTGAATGGATCAAGCAAACATTTCACTTGCCAAGTTGGAGGTATTACAATGTCATTGCATTTTTTTTCGTGGAGGAGGCTAAATTTGCCAACTTTTGCACCTGAGAGTGAGGCCACGTGATTTCAATTTGAAGCCCAAGATGTGAAGGGTGCTTCTTATAAACTTTTTTTCACTAGACTGTAGTCTGGTGCGGTAGACTGGCTACCACAACTCTGGAGAGTTTGTGTAGAAAGAGTGACCATGTGCAGGTATGAGACATTTCTTTTGACACATTTTAACTGACACAGGGCACAAGCGCTGGACAGGCCCTGAACAATTAATTCATGTTTTCACTACCTTAAGTTTTAGTACTTTCATACCAAGTATATAGAGTTCACAATGTCTAGATTTCTCCCATGAATCAGAGACCACCTCTTAAATCAACTTAATGATCATGTTTACCGAGCTGTGGCAAAATTCAAAAGGGCAGTGGCACAAAAATTATGGATTGCATTTCCACGTAAGTCTCATCAAGTGCTTTCACGAAAACTTGAAGAAACCTTAATGAATGGGACATTTTCACAATTTCAGCCCCTCAACGTATTGCAGATAACCAACTCATTTTTCAAAGGAAAAGTTCAGACTCCGGTAATAGCAAACAGAGCAACCAACTGATTAACCGACCAATTGACCAGCAATTTGCCAGGATTTGGAGCCTTAAATTTCTCTCCTCAGCAGAGGTCAAACCACCTGCACTCCCATTGTAGCGGATTGATACGTGAGCAAACATACCTGCAAACTGGGCCCTTGGAGTTATCGTGTTGGCATGTTCCAGTATTGCAATAGTTTTTCTCAAAGTCACAGCGGGAGGCACAGTACAGCACGCAGCCATTGGTTTGCTTGTCCTCATAAACAGACAGCGAATTATTGCATTTCATTTTATTCTTAATGTCATCAGTGCAGAAGTCAGTGGTGTCTACATGAAAAAAAAGACAGGGAAAAAATCCACAAGTGATTATTAGTTCCACATTCCCATTGACTGAGAAAACAGACAAGTTTTCTTCCAAAGTGAGTTTTTTGTCTTTTTTTTCTTTGTGTACTTTGACATCACTCCGGACTGCAATTTTTCAATCTAACCATTTCACAACAACCTATAAAAACCTGATGCCATGAAGTTTTACTGCCCACGAGCAGATGATCAACATTAACGAGGTCTTTGAATTTTATCCCACTGATGGCAAGTAATGGAAAAACATATCAAGACACATAAGAGTGTACAGAAGGTTCCATTTGTCTCTTTTGTTAGGAGGGGGGGAATAGGGGAATGTTGGAGGAGTTACTCAGTGGGGTCTGGTAATCAGCCGCTGATATTTCTCTGGGTGGATCTGTTAAATCCACTCAGTGTGCAGTGTGAAAAAGGAAGTACATATTAAAATCAGGGACAATCTGACAGCAATTACCTACCACTGCAGATCCAAAGTGTCAAGAAACAAAGTGATAGAAATATACCTTTCACGATATAGTCTTTCAACAACTGCAGGGGCCCAATCTTTCCCTCTTCAACCACTTTTTTCAGGGTGTCTGCATAAAATTTATCTGTCTGTAGTCCACGGATTTCAGGGGTTGCTTTAGCGTAGTCGTAGCTGACGGTGTGTGGAATGACAACACTGCCGGGCCTTTATATTGGACAAAAATAATATACATACTGATTAACAGAGACATATTAACCACCACTAGACTGACAAAGAACCGAAGCTGATGAAGTGGTCAATTTCCTTTCACATAGGGGTCAAATACGGGGAGGGGGAAACGTTGTGGGGTGGGTCGGGTTTGATTCAAGTGTACTGGATTACATTTACAATATTAGTAGGGTTGATACCATCAATGGTTAGAAACAAACGACTATCAGTGATCTTCACAGCGTCATTTGAGCCTGCTCTGTACTGATGCATGGAGCTGTCACACAGAATCGATGCATACGGACTTCTGATCGATACTCATCACAAACCTACAAGTGCAGTTTAAAAGATGGATTAAAAAGCTAATGGTACAATTGTCAAGAAAATATTTCACTAAGAAGAGTTATCTTGCCTTATTTGGGTCTGAACCACGATTACTTCCTTGAAGCTGGATGACAGATCTCTATACAGTGGCATCATCTATTGAAAATGTAATGAAATAGAAACAAATGGCCAGACAAACAGAATAAAAAAACAAAACATTATTTATTAAACAGGCACACGACTCACTTTTCATGACCGTTATGAAATGTCTATCTGAAACAATACTCCAGTCATTATGAGTGTTTCAAAGACAACTTTGTGAACAAATACAAAAATTAATTGTCCAGGTAGAATTGACGTTTCAACAGGCAGGAGTAAGCTAATCACAACCATCGGCAAATAGTGCCCTCTAGTGAAATTAAAACACATTACACACTTGTCTACAATAACCTGGTCATCCACCTTTGCATCTTTGCACATGAACATAGCCAAAGACTGAACCTCTGTATAAATTTTCCATGAAGTACAGAAGCGCCTTGGCTTCGTGTCCCACTGCTAATCCTCTGCAATCTTTAAGAATGTCTGGGGACTGGGTGGGGGGTATATATGCCCATGCCAATTTCAATATTCATTAGGCAATCGGACATGTCTTGGCAGATTATGCTTTTTTTAAGAGCTGATACTCAAACATCAAAAGATGGGAGACTTCTAGGGGGATTTTTGCCTTGATCAAGAGTCATTGGTGTACAGACTTTTGACAGGATATTAAGCTCTGTTTGCACCAGATATGCATCTGGCATCCCTGTGGAGAACTAACATTGTGCCAACCCATTTTTCCATTGATACACATTTTAGCTCAAATCCCTACAGTTCACCGATTATCTCAGCCTGAGGTATTGCTGAGGCTCTAGTCTGCATAAAATCTTAGAGTTGAAACAGTAGCAATATTTTTCAAGGGTCATGCAAATGTCAGTGCATAATTAAAACTTACAAGTTGCTTGAAGGTATTGACGAGTGCTATGCATGCTTCAGACAGCTTTCCTCCATTTGTACTCGGGTCACAGCCTGCGCTAACCGCTGTGGCATCCGCAATGGAAATCTCGACCACAAATTTCTTCTCCACTGTTCAACAACAATGCATTAAACCATGAGACGCAATATCAGCTTTAAATATTTATTATTTGTGAGAGTCTTTTAGTGAGAACACCTTCAGCAGTCATGGTTTAAGAGCTTTAGAAACTCACACTTATTAAAGTCACGGCTGGCTAACTGTGCGCAAAAGTATTAAAATCTTAAAAATCCCACAATGAGCGGTTTGTGAAGGAAGCACGTGTTTTTAGCTTACATTTTAAAGGATTTTAGCTACAAATCACCCTGAAGTTACACAGCACAGAGCAAGTCTATTTATTTGATTTCCGGAAGTGTATTGGAGGGTACTGCCACAGTAATGCTGTAGCTCATCCCTAAAATTACCCTCGCATGGTAAGGTTCATAAATGCTTCCATTTAGACATCCATTACAGATAGCAGACACCCTTCTATGCTTTCTGTTTTGTTTTTCCCTTTATTATTAAATCCCATTTCCTGATTATTTTCGAATTCTCTTATTCCAATTAAATAAAACAAATAAGAGAAAGAAATCTAGTCTAAATTTCTCTTAAAAAGTCTTCATGGGATCAAGGCTTTTGTAGTGCTTGATAATGGTGGCAAGTGTCATTATATTGTACGTCACATTTGAGCTGATAGGGTGATGCACATATTCATGCTCAAAATCCCTGAAAAGGTCACATGAAACTGTCATGTTTGCTGCCACCAAGCATCTCAAAAGTCTCCCTCTTAGATCATCGATTTGATCAATGACTTGTATCATTGACTTTAATTTGATGGTTGAAGCAATCGCTGCAGTGAGTTTTGTTTCAAATTTAGCCTGACACATGCCCTTGCACCCTTAAGAACAACGGTTCAAATTAAAGGTCAGACTCAACCTACCTTCAGCATCAATGTCTGGATATTCGGTTGGGTTGGCTGTACACATGAGTAAGAGTAAACAAACAACATCTCCAGTTATAGTGTTTAACATAAGAACAATCAGAGTAATAATGGGAGGTTGAGAAAACAGGCCAAAGTGACTTCTCCCGCACCTGGACAGAAAGAATCAACTCACTGAAAGTGTGAACCAGACGGTCTGACTTTCCTTCTCTCAGTATTTATCAAATGATTTTAAAACGTAGGTATCTAATGAATCAGCATGAAACTACTATCAAGCGGCAGAGCAGACAACCTTGAAAGGGAACAAGATGTACATTTTATGGTAAAAGACATGCCCCTCATTTATGCAATACAAAGTCATTCCTTTTACAAAACAGCCGACAAATCTGGCTTCATCCCGAGAATTATTTATGGCTTTGCACAGCGAAAGAATTACTTAACTACAAGAGGCAATTGGATAAGTGAGCGATTTCACTTCATGATACTTAATTATCTCAGGTAACAAAAAGAATGGAGGGTGTTTCCACTCAACCTTCTGCTATACAAGCAGTATGGAACATAACCTTTGGGCAAATTGTGTACTCATCAAAGCAACTCATCAGAGAGGTGTTTGTAAGCTGCTTATGAAACTCTACTATAATAAACATGCCATAATTTGGTCGCTTCAGGATTTGGCCTTTAGTCACTACACGTACACCGTTGGAAGTATTGGACAATCACAAATTTCAAAAGTGCCAATTTTGACAATGAACTGCTGGGAGGAATATTTACTTTCTGGCCGCTAACCGGCTGCTAATCTGTCACCTTCAATTATCTGTAAACTTACAATTGCAGGTAAAAATGCCATCGCCAAAGAAGCCATCTTTGCAAGCACACTGGTAACCCGGCTCCTGGTTAGTGCAGTCTGCATTGGCATGACATGGACTCTTTTCAGCAGCGCATTCATCAATGTCTGTTGACAAAGAAAACATTTCAACTGGCACTGTATGCAGACGTAAGAATCTCAAGTAGGCCTGATTTGCAGGCTTTGCGTAGGGCATTTAAAGTCATTCTACAAAGAGCAAAATCATTCTTATGTAGCTATATTTGTCCTGAGTTGAAGAGCCCCCTCACTGGCAAAGTAGAGACATGCTGATGGTAGGATAATTTCCCCATCAGTCTTGTTGATCGATGGCATGGCACGCACATGTTGACAGTATAATCAAAAGGAAATTAGTTGCGCTTTAGCTCAGTGCATCTCACGCCACTAATTCACCACTGGACTGTAGGAGAGCAGTGATCTATTACATATTATACAGACCTGCACAATCTGAACCGTCTCCTTTTTCTGAACTGTATCCTTCCTGACAGACGCATTTTGGATTGCCTGAAGTGTCAAGCTGGCAGTTGGAGAAGCCCGTGCATTTGGGGTCACAGGGATTCCCTGCAAGTTCAAACATGGACAGGAAATCATTACACACAGTTGTTACTTTAGTGTATTTGTTGAATACAATTGAATTTTGACAAAAGACGCCATGGATGTCAAGTGAGGGAGATACTGTAAAGGTATCGGCAAACGGGCACAAACCAGGGTTTCAACCACACATGTATGAGTATAAACAGTTCAGGAAAGGTTTCAAACTGTTGCATCGTTTGTGATGGTGACATACTTGGAAATGAAATGATAGGAAATTTCTTCCACTTCAGGCTACGTGCATAAATACTTGACACAGTTTTGAGGGGGAACGGGGCCTACAGTGCAGACTTTAATTATTTGAGCACTGACCATCTTGGAAACAAATTGTCAATTTGATTGTCTCATTTTGGGAAGCAATAGGGTGAAATGACATGAAAGATTAATATTCACATGGCATTAAAATCACAGAAAGAAATGGCCTGGGTAACGGCAAATATACACCTACTTCAGCAATGATTCAGAATGAGATATAAAGACTTCTGCCTCACTGTTAACGTGTACTGTAAATATAAAAGAGGCCTAAACTACACAAAGGCCGAGTTCGGGCGGCTTGTTCCCGTATGTTCATGAACAGCTCGATTTGTTGTTCGTGGGTCAGCCGCTCGAACGCCGGGAACAAACAACCGGTTATCGCTGGCAGTTAGTGACAAGCAACATGCAATATGGCGGCATCCATGTAGGCTACATTATTTGAGAGTTAATGTTGAGATGGGCTGAATTCTTTTCTATAAAAACAGGAACATTCATTTCTGTGTTACGGAAAAAAGTTAATGGTAATTTTGCAAAACTTCCCATTGTCTATGGCTATGGAAGCCATCTCTCTACTTTTTGCAGCTGTTCAAAAATCAAAATCTCACGAGTTTTTCCGTGTGTTCCTGTAAAACCCCGACGAGGAGGTGGTGTGTGATCCTGTTCCGAGAACAGTGTTCTTGAGTCGTGTTCCCATCATTCGAGCACGAGAACAAGAAACCCGTGTCAAGAACAGGCCGCCCGAACTCGACCAAGGCTATATGACTATTACCTGTGACTGTTACTTTGAAAGAACATTCCCCCACATTGTTGGCAGGGTCAATGGCTGAGCAGTATACGTCAGTGCTTCCGTACTCAAACTTTGACCCAGACAAGGGTACGCACCGCACTTTGAGTGGTCGACGAGGATCTCCGTCATCGTGACTGACGATGGGATCGACCCACGTCACTTTGGCTTTGTTGGTGTCCGATCCGGCTTGCACAGGCAATGGATCGTCCGGGCAAAGTATTGGTGGTGGAATGGAATCTGTAACCAAAAACCCAAACCTGGCCGTCGTCAGTCAGGGAAAAATGACAGCCCACACCGACCTGACTGCACTGAGCCACAGCCTGTGCTCTGGTGCTCTACCCATTTGGTTTACACATGGTCTGTGTACTAATTTGAGACTAGATCTAGTCTAGTGCCTTTGTTTTCTTCCTGTTTTCATCGTTTGGACGGCATGGCTTACCAGTTTTGGGGAAAAATTTTGAGAAAATGTAAAACTGGAAAGAGACAAGAAAAATCAAGTTTCTATTTTAGTTTGAATGTAGTGCAAAAAAGTTCAAGGGACTTGCAGCTACTACCTTTCTAAGTATTGTTCATATTGTTTGACAAAAATAACCATGACCCTGGCTGTTGTTATATATGACCAGTTAGCCCGTGGAATCAGTTTAAAAAAGCACTTAAAACATTCCTAACCATTCTGTTTTCAGATGCCATGTAAAGGGAAGCAGAACTTTTTTTTACCTTATCTTGATACCAAACAACCAATGTCACAGAACGCTAATTGCTTACTAATTTTTTGGTGATTCTGCCAAACGGCGGGACACAAAGTACACCTACCGAGTAGAACTCTGAAAGAGCACTGGCTGGTGCGGGTGCTCCCAGCGTCTGTCGCCGTACAAGTCACCAAGGTGTCAGGCTGGTCAAAAGTGTCTCCACTCTGGTGGTCGCACTGGACTACGGCCGGCTGGCCGGAGGAATCTTCATTACCCGTGATGTCATTCCAGGTCACAACGGCCTTCCCTGCGTCGTTTGGAGCGACAACTCTCATGCTAGGACAGTTGGTTTTAAAAGTTGGGGCTTAGAAATCAAAAGAGAGAATACCAGTTATCAAAAAAATTTTTGGTAAATTTTCAAACTCATTTTAAAAGAAAAGAATTTTTTTCTGAATGATGAGTTGGAACATTTCATCGAAGTACAGGCCCTAAATTGATCTTGTCAATATGAACAGTTTTCTGCTCTCTGTGATATACACTAACTATCCCACAGAAACCATGCAGTGAAGTTTCAGGCTTAAGAGAGACGTACTCATACAATTAAGCCTCAAATTGCTGGGGGCCTCGTCAAGACTCACCTGAGCCAACTTTTACTTTGAAAGTGCAGGTAGCATCTGGAAACTTAACACGGTCTGAATCTCTTGCTGTGCATGTCACACCTGTAGCTGCATCATTGTTAAAGGCGGTTTTACGAGTTGGATTACAAGACACATGTGCTGGAGATTTTCCTGTAGAATCAGTAGCTCCAACAGGTAAGGCATAGTCAACGACGGTGTCAGAACCAGAGCTTCCTTTTTCTATGGATATGTCTGTACAACCGGATTCAAACGTTGGATCTGAAACAGGAACAACGGTGCAAAGATGACAAAAAGTGAAATGCGGTATCTAAGGTGAGTTACTGTTTCGAGTACAAGAATGTGGAGATTTTACAGCGCTCAATGCAAGCTTAGGGCTAGTCGTGCTTGACTAATGTACCTTTTAGGATGACCTGAATACTGGCAGTTTTGGTACAATTATGCTGGTAAAGTGCAGTGAAATAATGTCAGGATTATCGTAAACTTTAAAAAAAAAGTGGGGCACCACTAGAACCAAGACCGTGATGTGCTGAATTAACACTGTGCAACAACGCTGTAGTCAAGACCACTTATACCTTCACAATGCCACACAAGACCAACACAAGACCTCCACAGTCTGAATTCAAGTCACAAGCTATTCAAATGAGCTACGACAAAGAATTCCTTTGTCACTGTTCACACTGTTGCTTGTGCGTGGTCTTGTGGATGCATCTTGTGCGTGGTCTTATGTCTGGGCTTGTGATGGTCTCGACTATTTCACTGCTGTGCAATGTTGAACAAACACCGTTTGATACCTAGGCAATTTAACACTTAGCAATTTCTGGCCATAGACCAACACCAACTGGTGGATTCTACTCCTTCATCTGACTACCAACCATGTCAATGCACAATGCCCCACCTTCCTTTATTACACAATCACCACAAAGACTTATGATAACATTTCCAAGAAGGCATGCTCCATTCGGACACCCAACAGTTGAATGAAATTCACTGATGCAAAGACCATGAATGCTTTAGGAGATGAAACTCCCTTTTATATTGTAACGGAAATCAGTTTACTTTTTTCTGTCGACTTAACTTATGCTGCTGGTATGAAGAATTTCCCAGGGGGCATGTGCAGTCCTGACGTTATTGTTTGCTCTTACATTCTCCTCATTGGGCGCCTCTGCCGCGCACGCGCTGCGGTGTAGATATAAATAGCACATTTGCGCATTTGTTAGCTGATTTTAGTTGGGTGCACTTTCTCTGGACCTTGCGTGAGCAAGTATTTTGAGCCCAACGTTTAGTGTACATTTGGGAGCTCTTTGTCGCCAAATTAGGCAGTGCGAAATTTAACTCATCCCTAGGTACCCTGAACTTGCTCGTTATTGATAGGGTTAACTTGGACTGGTCAGATTGCTGCCGCCAACTCCGAAGTTGTCATCAGGGACGTTCACTAAATTCTGAGCCCTTTTATTAAAGCGAGCTGCCTGTACCTTAGATATGGGGGCTCATCGACTCTGTCCATTTCTGTTAAGTTTAAGACACTTTCTCATTTTATTGGAAGACGTTACTGTGATTATTTTGATAAGTTTTCTTTATGAATTTTACAGGAGTGGGAGATGCCGTGGGGAGGTCCTTTATTGAGGTGCCTCGTTATTTAGTGCACCTAGCTCCAGAGGTCTCCCTCGGATACAGAGTTTCCCCCCCGAGACATGAAAGCCTGATCCCATTTTAATAAAGCCTTTGCACATCAGAGCCTTTGCATTAACCAGGCTACCTCTCCTCTCCATTCATTGATTCCTATTGTTTCTTGAATGTTCAATTATATGTTGTTAATTGTTATTGTTCTGAAACTCGTTTCCCTGCACGTTATTTTATTTGTCTGTCTTGCCCTTAGACTAGTATATATTCTCCTAAAACGAATGTCCCCACATTCTGCAGCTCACGTGTAATTTGTTTAAATTCCTAACATAAGTGCGAGTCCGTGAGAGCCGAGAATCTTCGGTGTCGAGTACCGTGTAAGCCAGCCCAACCACTACAGTGGGAGACATGCTTACGGTAAGGCGGGCAAAAAAGTGTGGACTTGCCCACCAGAGGTGTTGCAATATTCACAGGCTGCCTGTGCAACGCTGTGGATGCACATTGAACACAGAGCCGGATTAGAACATGGATCACATGTGGGATAGCATGGCATGGTTCTGTGAACAGAGTGGAAACAACCAAGTCTCATCCCAAGGAATTGATAGTTTGAAAAGCTCTTAACCAAGCGAAGCGAAGTTTCACTTATCTTTGTTTGTAAATTGTTTCTCCAAGGAGACTTAATTCATTTTTGTTTTTTTTAATTTTTCTTTGGTTTATTTATAAATTGCATTTCATTCATCTCTCTGAATTTGCTTCCGTTCAAAAACTTTCACCGACATCAGGAAACCTAATGTTTGCAGAGAGAAATTTTCCACAAGAAACACACCGTTACCACAAAACAAGAGATTAAAACAGAGTTAAATGGCAGAAGTTACAAGAAAAATACCGAGTTGGCAGTTTGGATGCCAAGGTTAAAGGAACAAGGAATAAGCTGCTGGTCAGAAAAACGCAAACACAGAGCTGGCTGATTGGTGGCAAATGGATTGAGTCTACTTACATATTCTCACTTTGAAGTCACATGTTTTGGAAAGGAGTGATGAGCGAGGGTCCACCGCTGTACAAGTCACGGGGGTGTCACCACCTTTGAACACTGAACCACTCGCTGGATTACACGTTACAGTTGCTGCTGCAGTTCCATCGCCTTGTTTGGCGGTACGCTCTGTCCAGGATACGATCGCTGTCTTTCCATTGTCTGGGCTGGCATTGACATCCACTTGACAGTCATGGGGTTCATCAAATGTCGGAGCTGAGAGAAAGAATGAGAAAAGGGCAAAACTGGAAACACTGTGGCCTTACTGTGAGGCAGACATCAGACAAGTGTGGAAATGTTTGCTACTGAGTCACTGCCACTGACACAGACCTAAGGCCCTGTTTTTTTATTGAATTGCCACAGGAAGATGTTTTGAAGTGCTTCATCGATTCTTAGCTATAAAAACGCAAACAGCTTTAATTTGCGCATTTTTATTTTGGCCAACTAAAGTTATGGAGACCGGGCCCGGGGAACTTTGCAAGTGCCATCTGACTTGTTATCATCTGAGAATGACTGTTGCAGTGGGTTACTCAAATCTGTGACTTGAATTCAGTCTTTTCAAGCAGGTGACTTATTAAGTCCTCAGATGCAAAAACTACTTTGACCTGTATTGAGCCCAACTGAGTCACAGTGTTAATAGCCATGTCAAGCAAAATGAAATTCATGCAAGACAGACAAAGGCCGTGTCTGAAACGGGCTTCCGGAGCTATGACTATTAAAGTCTAATATTGTCCGTGCGTCTCCGGCCACGCATTTCCAATGGAGTGAAGACCAAGACCTAGCTCTAGACAAGAGATTTGGATGAAGGCCAAAGACTGTATTGTAGTAAGCAAGGCAGTTATTTGTTACTCAAATGAAGAAAGGAACACACACAAGGCATGGGGGTGCTAAAATGGCAGCTTGTAATGCAAGGGACAGTTTACAAGCAAAACTGGCACTTTACAATCAATCACACTCGGGATGTTAAAAATGGGTCAAATGCAACAAAAAGTCAGGATGAAATCGTGCTCGGGTTGAGGACATCTTGAGAGTAAAATGTTGAAATTCTCCAATTACGTTTTACAGGAAATCATCTCTACACGTTAATATCCTGCTTTCTTGCAATGATGTCATCCTCCTTTGGTAATTTTTCTAGGAATGATGACCATGCTATGACACAAACTTACCAGCAGCAACCAGTATCTTAAAGGTGCAAGTGGCCACATCACGTTTGTCAGAATCAGGATCTGTTGCTGTACAGGTTACCCTGGTTACCTTATTATCAGTAAAGAGAGTTCCTGTGTCAGGGTCACAGGTTACTTCTGCATGTGTCCCTTTGGAATCGATTGCTCCAGATGGTTTGACATAGTTGACAATTGTAGAACCAGCAGATGGACTAGCAACTTTATCTTTGCAGTCATCCTCAATTATCATGGGATCTTGGAATAGAACAATTCATCAAAAAACAAATCAAAATCAAATCTATCTTGCTTTTAATAGTTTAAATATTACATTTTCAAATACGTGAATGTGCTGTCTGCAGGCGAGTACCAATTTCACATTTAACAAACATTTTAGCTTCTCTGGAAATTTCAGCTTCGGATCTCTGTCATTCTGCAAAATCATGATGGCTCTTAAATGAACCACATATAATGGACTTATCCATAATAACAGACAGGATTGTTTCTCTTTTGTCATTTACTCGGTTTGCGAGAAGTCTGATTATTCACCTCGGTCATTTCATATCAGACCAACACACCTTTGGACCTTAGAACTTCCAATTTTGATAAAAATGGCCATGCTTCTGGATATTGTGACGGAAAGTGTATAGAACTAGAGCTAGTCTAATTTTATTAATGAGTTGCAGTGCATGTACATGATTGGCTAGTGACTTGGTAACGTGTGCTGGCTAGGCATAGCGTAGCGCGCTGTGCGCACATGGTCGTGCTACTGCAGTGAGCGCTGCGATCGCATTATAGGTGGTTGCGTGTTGGACTTCGCAGTGTGAAGTTGGTGAGTTGGCGAGGAGCTAAGGCATTGTCAGTGCTGTGCGAAGCGTTGCGTGGTGCTGATGCATTGCAAGTACGTGATTGTATAGACTGTACGTGGCTGACTAGTGTGTGTAGCTGACGCGTTGCAAGTACAAAGCTGTGAGAGCTGTACGTTGCTGACGCTGGCTCGCACACACGTTAGGTGAAGCTCGCACGAAGTTGTACAAGTTGTACGTT